CATACCTTTATTAGACAAATCCTCCTAAGAAAATATACAACATCCACAAATACTTTGGAAAATGTTGACAACCTGCAAGATAGTGTTTTGTAGAGGCTTCGTGTGTCTCAAGTGCATTCAAGTGGACTGCCTTTTCGATCATTATGACAACGGCGTTCATATTTACATTTGGACTTGTTTAGAGCTGTTATTTATGGACCTCGGATGGTAAACTCCAGACCGGAGTTTTGTCGGATCTGATGTCGTACCTGTTTTGTCGTACCTGTGATGTCGTATGTGTTGTCGTAGCTGTTTTGTTGGATCTGTTTTATCGTACCTGTGTTGTCGTACCTGTTTTGTCGGTTCTGTTTTGTCGTACCTGTGTTGTCGTTCCTGTTTTATCCTACCTGTGTTGTCGTACCTGTGTTGTCGGACTTGATGTCGTACCTGTTTTGTCGTACCTGTGTTGTCGGACCTGATGTCGTACCTGTTTTGTCGTATCTGTAATGCTGGACCTGTGTTGCCGGACCTGTGTTATCTTACCTGTGTTGTCGGACCTGATGTCGTACCTGTTTTGTCGTACCTGTTTTGTCGTATCTGTAATGCTGGACCTGTGTTGCCGGACCTGTGTTATCTTACCTAGTGTTGTCGGACCTGATGTCGTACCTGTTTTGTCGTACCTGTCGTACCTGTGTTGCCGGACCTGTGTTGTCGGACCTGATGTCGTACCTGTTTTATCCTACCTGTGTTGTCGTACCTGTGTTGTCGGACTTGATGTCGTACCTGTTTTGTCGTACCTGTCTTGTCGTACCTGTGTTGCCGGACCTGTTTTGTCGTACCTGTGTTGTCTTATCTGTGTTGTCGGACCTGATGTCGTACCTGTTTTGTCGTACCTGTGTTGTCTTACCTGTTTTGGCGTACCTGTGTTGTCGGACCTGATGTCATACCTGTTTTGTCGTACCTGTGTTGCTGGACCTGTGTTGCCGGACCTGTTTTGTCGTACCTGTGTTGTCGGACCTGATGTCGTACCTGTTTTGTCGTACCTGTCTTGTCGTACCTGTGTTGCCGGACCTGTTTTGTCGTACCTGTGTTGTCGTTCCTGTGTTGTCGGACTTGATGTCGTACCTGTTTTGTCGTACCTGTCTTGTCGTACCTGTGTTGCCGGACCTGTTTTGTCGTACCTGTGTTGTCTTACCTGTGTTGTCGGACCTGATGCAGTACCTGTTTTGTCGTACCTGTGTTGTCGGACCTGATGTCGAACATGTTTTGCCGTACCTGTCTTGTCGTACCTATGTTGTCGGACCTGTGTTGTCGTACCTGTGTTGTCGGACCTGTGTTGTCGTACCTATGTTGTCGGACCTGTGTTGTCGTACCTGTGTTGTCGGACCTGTGTTGTCGTACCTGTGTTGTCGGACCTGTGTTGTCGTACCTGTGTTGTCGGACCTGTGTTGTCGTACCTGTGTTGTCGTACCGGTGTTGTCGTACCTGTGTTGTCGTACCTGGGTTGTCGTACCTGTGTTGTCGTACCTGTCTAGCGGACCTGCATGGTGCTGACACCCCCGTGGAGATATAATTGGTCCACCAACTCCGCTGCGATGGCTCTGGTCACCAGGGTGGGTCACGTGGTTGATTACCATCATCGTACCCCGAACACTGTAATGTAGTTCCCGGAGATTTTAGAAGACAGGTTATTCTGTCTTGACAGACCCTAGCTATACACTATGATTTGATGACAAACGGAAACGAATTGAAGAACTATATTAGGTCCACGACTGTCGCTAGTGTGTGTTCTATTAATATGAAATCCAAGTCGCGCGAGAGTTTCGTGGGTCTCTGAGAGAAATGAGAATTAAAGTCGCTTTGTGTGACCGGGCCCTTGCCTTATTAAACCTCTTGACTCAGTTCGTTGAACAAAACAAGGTCTTAAACCCGGCCTTAAATATCTGAGAATCTCGCTTATGCACAGGAGACAGGGACTGAAGAAGAAACTGATAGTGATCCCTGCTAATAGCGGGTGCGTGTTACTCCTTCATCCGTCGAAGAAGTACAAGGAATCTTCTCTTCAGTCAGCGGCATAACATATACATGGCGCCAGCTTAATATACGACGTCAACGCCAGAGAAAAAACAGTTTATTTTATCCCACGAAACAGATTCCATTGGGCGTCAAAGACAAAATAACGGTAAAAGTACATGAATGGATTACGGACAGTGATTGAATAGAAAATGAATATTTCCGCGCAATATGTATTTGCATCGAATTTGCCACACAGAGTATTTGACGTCAATTATCAATATATATTAAGCTATTTTAAAGAGTGAGTGAGTGAGTTGTGTTTAACGCCGCTTTTAACAGTATTCCAGTTATATCACGGCATGTCAGCTTAATGTGGGAGGAAAGCCCGAAGTGATGCAGGTCTCAGACGTTTACCACTTCGGTGAAACCCACAAGCACGGATATGGTGCTGACAAACCTAGAAACATAATCGGGACAAACCGGGATTCGAACCCACAATCATAGGTTTCTGGCATGCCCGGCGCCTTAGACGACTATTTTAAAGAGCTGCCACTGGAATGTATGCGTGTCCTTTTAACATTCAGTCCATATATAATTTATACTTTCATACTCATATTAGAAGATGCAAATAATGAAACACAGTCATATTCCGGCAAAACGTTTGTATATTAAGCGTGACATTGACATACCTTCTGTGAATTCTTTGAGCTTTGTTTTAAGGTATCTTAACATAAATTCTTTAAATTAAATGTAGCAACAAGTACAACGATGTTTATTTATTAAAAATGGTGTTTTAGCATCAAATCAAAAACAATTTAAACACATTTAAAATAGTCACACATGCACCGAGAAAGAGAACGTTGTTTGAAATCCCGAAAAAAACCGAAGTCCGCCGAGTGCAGCCTGCCGTGAGCTGAATAAAGCAGTCGAGCTGGCCGAGATCGCGTCAGTTTGTCACGCGCAGGTCACATGACTCGGGACAAGTAATTGTGCCAAGTCTCCTCAAACGATGTGGCGATTTTTTCATGAAGGCTGTCGCATGACTTATTGGTTTCCAAATCCTCCGACTATCAGGATTTCCCTAGTTTAATCAAGAGATTTTCTTCTTTCATCATATGTTTTGCAGGACTTGATTGCCCTTTCGCGAACACCTGGTGTCCCTATTTTGCTTTTTACGCCCTGTGAAGTGAGTGAGTGAGTGAGTTGGGTTTAACGCCGCCGTTGGGTTTATTCCAGTTATATCAAGGCGTGTCAGCTTAATGTGGGAGGAAAGCCCGAAGTGATGTAGGTCTTTACCACTTCGGTGAAACCCACGAGCACGGGTATGGTGATGACAAACCTAGAAACATAATCGGGGCGAACAGGGATTCGAACCCACAATCATAGGTTTCTGGGGTGCCCAAGGGACGCAAGTCTGCACAGCGAGTTGCGGCGCCTTAGACGACTGGGCCACCCGTGCCACCTACGCCCTTTGTGATCGGTTTCGGCAGATATTCGACAAAGGCGCGGAAGATGCGAGTTTTATTCCTAATATATTATATTTATGACACAGAAACACACTCGGTCAATAATCACTTTATCTCGATACATCGTTTAAACTGAAATAGCCTTATGACCCCGTCAACTTGTCCTTTAACAAGGCAATATGTTCTAATATCGCTTGTCTCAAACTAACTCGACAGTCCCCAGAACATCGAGTTAACGAGGTGATATTAATCTGGTTATCACACAGATGAAAACACAGACATCCACAGGCGCCATGGCATGTTATTTTGCAGGAAAGAGGTTGCAATATAGGGATTAAAACAAAAGCAAACAATACCCCTTTAAAGATGGATTGAAACATGAGGTTTGTAACTGATTCATTTCGTTCATAAAAGATTCATGAATCATTGACCTACGCCTGCAAGAGGCTTATAGTAATCAATACTGCAAGCCCCTCTCTCTGATCTGAAAGATGGTTACGAGCGCGAAGTAGTGGCGTACGAGCGTCACGACCTGTTGCTCTTGGTGGCAACTTGACAGCGCCTTCTTGTGTTTCAAGGCCGAATGTGAACTAAATCTATCCCTTTTGTCTGTTCAAGTTTTGAAAATATTCACATAGTTCCAACTTTAGTATATCTCGGAATGGGATATAAGCGGTATTTATTTTGGAACAAGCCCGAGTCTGTTTGATTTACTGAATGATTTCATAATGCGGTTGACCTTCACCACTGTTGATGCGAGTCAGCGTCTCTTACATGTATTGACATTTGGATGATATTATTTTGTGTCACTATGAACTACCCCAAAACAAGACAGATATTTCAAGGATATCTTTTGGATGATTATGATGATGATTATGATGATGATGATGATGATGATGATGATTATTATTATTGTTGTTGTTATTAAGGTTGTTATAATTATCATTATTTAAAATATAAAGTTAATATTATAAAATAAATAAGTGAAACCAAAGAGGGTTTGGGTGATCCTGCCACAGTCAGGCTGGTTATGCTCATCCTCAGCTCAGGCCCCCCCCCCACACACACACACACAAGCATGGCGAGCCACTCCATCATGTCGCTTAAGATGGGCATCCACTGACAATGTATTGGACAGTCTCATTAAATTCATTCCATAATCGGGGCGGTCGGGTAGCCTAGTGGTTAAAGCGTTCGCTCGTCACGCCGAAGACCCGGGTTCGATTCCCGACATGGGTACAATGTGTGAAGCCCATTTCTGGTGTCCCCCGCCGTGATATTGCTGGAATATTGCTAAAAGCGGCGTAAAACCATACTCACTCACTCACTCACTCATTCCATAATCTGCATTTCATTATTATTAGTTGTAGTAGTAGTAGTAGTAGTAGTAGTAGTTGTAGTACACTCGTAGAGATAAGAAAGTATCGAGTCAGATGGATATATTAAATTGTTCATCAGGAACCGGCCATTTTGTTATTTTTTTCAAAACGTAACTGCTATTAGACCAAACCATTAAACCAACAAAGCGTTCTGTTACAGCTGTCTCATTTCATCGGTGTCAACATCCAGACCTCCTTCATGTTTCTCACCATTGGCATCGTCCCCATGCTCGTCTCAACCATCGCCTTCCTGCCCAAGACCAAGATCCCCTGGCCCCTCCCACTGGACTACGGCAAGCGCCGCAACCAATCACTGGACGAGACGATGCTCCGGAAGCAGAGGGCATGGCAACGGAGAATGTCGGGTAGAGTACGCCGGAAGTTGACCATAACACGTGATGTCGTAAAATGCTAATGTTTAATATTTGTAATTCCTTTCAGGGAGTTTCAGTCAATTTCGCTTTTACAGTTTCAACTCTCATCCGTGCCATCCACTGATTCTGGGTTCGAATCCCAAATTAACCCTGATTTTGATTCTTGGTTTGTTTGCAACATACCTATGTTCGGATCCAGGAAACGACGTGCTTTCCTCCAACAGTAAAGATAGTCAGTGAGTCATCTAAAAAGGATGGCATACTTGAAGTAACACGTGGTAATCGTTAGAGCCTCGTCCCGTAGCCCGCACTGAGGTAGCGCATGCTGGATTCCAAGTGGCATGCTTAACACATCTCCGGGACCTGTCCCTATGTAAAGCCAGACATCAAAACAGTATCTTGGTTAAACGTTTCTCACAAACAGTTTTTTCGAGTAATAAATGACCTCTCGATGACTTCCTGCAAGAGTGAGTGAGTGAGTGATGTTTTACGCCGCTTTTAGCAATATTCCAGCAATATCACGGCGGAAATGTTCACACATTGTACCCATGTCGGGAATCGAACCCGGGTCTTCGGCGTAACGAGCGAACGCTTTAACCACTAGGCTACCCGACCGCCCCTACTTCCTTTAAGATGTTCAAGATGACACGTGATATAAAGGAAATACTGTTAAGATTAACCCATTGTCTGCTATATGAACACATCCCATTGAAGTAGTTGTACAAAACACAATGTGCGAGTTCTTTATAAAATTGAAACTGTAATTTAAACGAAAAGATAGGGTGATCCATCCTCACATGCTTCCAGTTGTAAATAAATAGTTTTGATTTCTGTGAAAGCGATAGCCACCAGTCTTAAACAGCCTAATACATTTGCTAAATTTTATGCAGAAATAATGAAAGGTTTTGCTCCAGATTAAAACGCCCTACTCTATATTGAACTTGTCGCCTCGGAAAAGGAAAAGATAAATTGATTTTATATAATAATCTTTTTATAAGTTATGCTCTTGAAACGTACCCTACCCTCAGTAAAGCTTATGCTAAAAAACAAATCAAGGAGCATAACTCTGTAAAATGTCAAGTTTTGATGTCAGTTTTCAAACTTTATAGCATATGCACGTATTCAAAAATGTCATATATAGTAGTTTAAGAGAAATTGGTGTTACTGTGCACCGCGTTCAAAAGATAAAACAGAGGTCATAACTCTGTGAAACATGAATTTACTATCAACACATTCATCCCTTTAATATATATGTGGGGGCACGAGTGGCTCAGTCGTCTAAGGCGCCGCGATTCGCTGTGCAGAGTTGTTTCCCTTATACATTATTTCATGAACAGGGGGGAATTGTGTTAAGTTGAGAAGTAAGTACAATTTCCTATGATAACTCTAAAGTACATGTAGTCACATATTAACGGGGGCACGGGTGGCCCAGTCGTCTCAGGCGCCGCGATTCGCTGTGCAGAGTCGCGTCCCTAGGGCACACCAGAAACCTAAGATTGTGGGTTCGAATCCCGGTTCGCCCCGATTCTGTTTCTAGGTTTGTCAGCACCATACCCGTGCCCGTGGGTTTCACTGAAAGGGTAAACATCTGAGACCTGCATCACTTCGGACTTTCCTCCAACATTAAGCTGACACGCCGTGATATGACTGGAATACTGTTAAAAGCGGCGTTAAACCCAACTCACTCACACTCACTTTAATATACATGCTAAATGTCATCCTTGCATCCAGAGTGGTTTCTGAGTAATTCTTCCCCCATTGTCATCATGTGCAAAAGATCAAACAAGGACAATAACTCTGAAATATATATATTTTTTCGATCACGGTTTTCGAAGTCCCCATTGAAGTCTGACACACTGACGGGCAGACGAAACCTAAACCTATATCGTCTTTCTTTTGTAGCGGAGGATTTTAACAGTATATCAAGTAACTGCAGACATGAAGTCGGTCTTGAAGTTGATGGCTTAGGACTAAATCATTTCAACTTTACGTTGATGCTAATGGAAAACATGTCGAGGTTGTCATCCCTCCTGGGTTTGCGGTGTCAGATAGAAACGGCGATTGTGTACCTAAGTATCATGTAGTCAAACGTGACCATAGTCAAAACAGAAGTACGTTATTCATGCATCTCAAAAGGCATAGTCCCCTGGATTAATCACTTAAACCCAAGTCCATTATCTGAACATCATTTTCATTTCTCATTATGTGAAGTTGACGTTCATCGTGAGGACTGAGTCGCCAAGTTGTTTGTTTTATTTGTTTATTTGTTTGTTTGTTGTTCGACGCCGCACGCAGCAATATTTGTTTGCTTAATTTATTTGTTTGTTTGTTCGACGCCGCACGTAGCAATATTTGTTTGCTTAATTTATTTGTTTGTTTGTTTGTTCGACGCCGCACGCAGCAATAATTGTTTGCTTAATTTATTTGTTGGTTTGTTTGTTGTTCGACGCAGCACGCAGCAATATCCCAGCCATATGACGGCGGCCTGTATTAATAATAATCGAGTCTGGACCAGACAATCCAGTGATTCATGCATTGTTTCAACTGACCGACCTCTACTGTTTTCTATTGCATACATGTAGCTGCCGGTTCTCTCCTGCGGGCACGTTCTGACAGAGACCGGTACTGATGTTAGAACCTGCTTTAAATTCCCAAACACTTCTTGGAATAAGGTTCTGTCCATCAGTACCGTTCACTGACACTAGAAGCGCCATTTCATGCACGTGTATAGCCCCAAACTCTGACTTCAACAACCTATTAATAGTTCTCCATAATGCACCAAGACAGGGCACGCAATGCGTAGAGCTCGACGAACACTCGTTTATCCGTTAACTAGAAATGTAGCACTGGTGAACAGATGACAGATAGTCGATATGACGCAGGAAGTTGGGCAATATGTTTATAAAATCGCAATATAAACGTCTGGTGCACATGATTAAAAATGATGCGTCCATGCCAGAGAAACATGTCCAATTTTTTAGCCTAACCATTGCAAGTTGTCCTGAAATGTGCGCATTAATGAGGTCAGTGATTTGTCTGTCGGACAGTGACAAAAGTCAATATATTACAACTGAAACTAGTCTCGGTAGTCCTTGGAACCTACAACGGTAGTCACATGACCCGGGACATATAATCCAAATCCTCTTGGTAATTATATATGGTAATTACGATGCGAGGAAGATAATCTTTTTATCATAAAATGGGGGCGGCCGGGTAGCCTAGTGGTTAAAGCGTTCGCTCGTCACGCCGAAGACCCGGGTTCGATTCCCGACATGGGTACAATGTGTGACCCGACATGGGTACAATTTCCGGTGTCCCCCGCCGTGATATTGCAGGAATATTGCTTAAAGCGGCGTAAAACCATACTCACTTTCTCTTGGAATAATATCGTACATTATTTGAGTGGAGTCGAGTTGAACCAGAAAACAATAACGAGTCACACTGATGTATACTTTGAATACCATGGTAGGGACGTGACTCATCCGTGTTTTCTAGTAAGTATTCTTTCCATTTCAATTGGCGGATGTACAAAAGCTGCATGGTTACTGGACGGGTGGGAACCCCGGGTAGAGATATAGGTCCCCAGCAACCCATGTTGGACGTAAGAGACGACCAAATGGATCGGGTGGTCAGGCTGGCTGACTTGGTATCTCAATTGCGTAGATAGATGCTCACGATGTCAACCACTAAATTGTCAGGTCCAGACTCGATTATTTACAGATCGCCGTCATATATCTGGGATTTTGCTGACGGCGGTGTTAAACAACAAACAAACAAACAAACAAACAAACTATATGGTTTTGGAAGATAGCGGTGAGGACAGAGCAGGGCTAGTTGCCCCGCCAAGTTGTTTGATATAAACTTTGTTTTCCTGACTATAGACCACAGCTAACTGTTTACTTGGATGTGTTGAATGTTTTTGGTAAAGTTTTTGGAGCTGGTAGAAGCATCTAAAATATTCTCAAGGTGTAAATATGCCTTCATTTCCCGTTGACAGAAACTGGATTTGTTCCGATTCAATAATGCATAGTCGGAACGGAATATTCTGATTTTGATTTTTTTTTAAATATGTCATATTGTCTTCTCCTTACGAATCTAAATATCTTGATTTCGCAGGCATTTCAACAATTTATCTAAATCTTTTTCCTGCTAAAGCCGGAATATCCCGATCCCGCAATGCTTTCACTGGCGTTTCTATTTTACCGCTTGACAGAAGTATGGATATCCCGATTCCGCAGGTCTTTCAACAATGTATCTATTTTTTTCTCTCTCTCTGTCTCTCAACAGAAAGACAGCCTCCGTGGTCTAGTGGTAGAGCGTCTGCGGAAGGTCCGGGATTCGATCCCCTGCAACGTCGTAACAAAATACGTTAAAAGATTGTATTTATTGTTACCCTGGCTACGACTGGTGGGCTCGTAGTCAGTATACACTGTATGAGTGGGACATATTTATGTTAAACTATTTCCCCGCTCGACAGAAGCCAGTATATCCCGATCTCGCAGGTCTTTCAACAATGTGTCTATTTTTCCTCTCGACAGAAGCGAGGATATCCCGATCTCGCAGGTCTTCAACAATGTATCTATTTTTTCCTCTCGACAGAAGCTGGGATATCCCGATCTCGCACGTCTTTCAACAATGAATCTATTTTTTCCTCTCGACAGAAGCGAGGATATCCCGATCTCGCACGTCTTTCAACAATATAGCTATTTTTTCCTCTCGACAGAAGCTGGGATATCCCGATCTCGCAGGTCTTTTAACAATGTATCTATTTTTCCTCTCGACAGAAGCTGGGATATCCCGATCTCGCAGGTCTTACAACAATGTATCTATTTTTCCTCTCGACAGAAGCTTGGATATCCCGACCTCGCAGGTCTTTCAACAATGTATCTATTTTTTCCTCTCGACAGAAGCTGGGATATCCCGATCTCGCAGGTCTTTCAACAATGTATCTATTTTTTCCTCTCGACAGAAGCGAGGATATCCCGATCTCGCAGGTCTTACAACAATATAGCTATTTTTTCCTCTCGACAGAAGCTGGGATATCCCGATCTCGCAGGTCTTTCAACAATGTATCTATTTTTCCTCTCGACAGAAGCTGGGATATCCCGATCTCGCAGGTCTTTCAACAATGTATCTATTTTTCCTCTCGACAGAAGCTGGGATATCCCGATCTCGCAGGTCTTTCAACAATGTATCTATTTTTCCTCTCGACTAAAGCTTGGATATCCCGATCTCGCAGGTCTTTCAACAATGTATCTATTTTTCCTCTCGACAGAAGCTGGGATATCCCGATCTCGCACGTCTTTCAACAATGTATCTATTTTTTCCTCTCGACAGAAGCTGGGATATCCCGATCTCGCAGGTCTTTCAACAATGTATCTATTTTTCCTCTCGACAGAAGCTGGGATATCCCGATCTCGCAGGTCTTTCAACAATGTATCTATTTTTCCTCTCGAAAGAAGCTGGGATACCCCGATCTCGCAGGTCTTTCAACAATGTATCTATTTTTCCTCTCGAAAGAAGCTGGGATACCCCGATCTCGCAGGTCTTTCAACAATGTATCTATTTTTCCTCTCGACAGAAGCTGGGATATCCCGATCTCGCAGGTCTTTCAACAATGTATCTATTTTTCCTCTCGAAAGAAGCTGGGATACCCCGATCTCGCAGGTCTTTCAACAATGTATCTATTTTTCCTCTCGACAGAAGCGATGATATCCCGATCTCGCAGGTCTTTCAACAATGTATCTATTTTTCCTCTCGACAGAAGCTGGGATATCCCGATCTCGCAGGTCTTTCAACAATGTATCTATTTTTTTCCTCTCGACAGAAGCGATGATATCCCGATCTCGCAGGTCTTTCAACAATATAGCTATTTTTTCCTCTCGACAGAAGCTGGTATATCTCGATCTCGCAGGTCTTTCAACAATGTATCTATTTTTTCCTCTCGACAGAAGCTGGGATATCCCGATTCCGCAGGCCTCAACCCCAGTTCTCGCCGGTGCTGGTTCAGTCTCTTTATATCTGGTCGGTTGTGTGGTACGGGGTCCATCATCTGCAGACAGCCATGTTTGAGTCCAGGTTCATTGACCTCACCAACCCCGACATCGACGAAGGTGTTGGTGAGTATACAACCACTCAGAACACCTTATGAAACTGTTGACAAACGGCAGTGTTATTACCAATCAATCTAAAGAAACCATATGCAATAAATATTATGGTGTACATCATATACACAAAACATTAGCTCTCGGTTCCCAAGACAAGCATGCATGCATACTGATATTTTAAAATATTTACCTTTTTTCGGATGTAATAGGGGCGCGGATTTCACTTACAGTGCAGAGTTGCGCCCCTTGTCGTGCCGTCAAAGATAACAGATACCGTATTCGACGTAATAAGCGCCCAGGGCGCTCTCAAAATTAGAATGTTATTTGGGTGAAAAGAAAACTTGAGTTGAAAGATAAATTTCGTGGTTTATACTGACAGCCTGAAATGTTTATGTACGACAGATATATTTTTCCAGAATTTAATTGCCCATAATTAAGTGTGCATATAACGCACGAGTGCGTATTATACGCGAATAAATAAGTCTTGTGTTCATTAATCAATCGGAAGGGGTGCTAATTGGGATTGTTCACTAGCCAATATATGAGCAAATATCGCCGTGGGCGTTTATTAGAGCAGGGCGCTTATTACGTCGAATACGGTACGTATATTACTGAAATACTGTTAAAGCCGCGCACGGAGTCACGGATTCGTTTAGTTTCTTATTGTTTAAAGTTGGATCAGTATTTAAACGCCGAAGCACCGGGATGGATTGGGTACAACGTGTGAAGCCCAATTCTGGTGTCCCCCGCCGTTATATTGCTGGAATATTGCTAAAAGCAGCGTAAAACCATACTCACTTACTCAGACTATCCCTAAACCATTTCTCAGACCTGTCTCATTTCATCGGCGTCAGCATCCATCTAACCTTCATCCTCACACGCAACATTTTTCCAAGGTCCCCAAATAAATGCTGCTCCCGTATAATAAATAACCAGTTCCTACATAATCATAGATAGTTGTGAATATTTTTTGTTGGCGGCCGCCCTCTTTCGCTGTCTCAAGTCTCAAGTTGTCTGACCCCCCATCCCCCCTCTCCCACCCTCCCATCCACTACCATCATCACTTGCCAGGACTTCACTCCCCAATCGTATTCCTAAGGGAAACAGCTTTTCCTGCGAAAAAGATTCATTTACAGCGGTATTCTCATTTCATTACATAAGGGATCGCTCCCATCACGCCTCGATTCTGTTATTAGATCTACGCGGTACTTTCGTTTAGGAGAGTTATTTGTATTGGTTTTTGACTACAAGCTCACAGACGAGAGAAGGTCTGTGCTGGGTTTTCGATAGGCAGCTGGAGATGGAGATGGAGATGGAGATCAGAGTATGAATCGTCATAGAATAGAAATAAAACACACTGGATAATCGAGGTCGGTGATCATCAACATGTGGCGATTATTCGCTATTGTTCACCACTTTAGTTCGTTGCATTTATACTGTTGCTATAGTTCTTTTACTTTGGGGGCACGGGTGGCCCAGTCGTCTAAGGCGCCGCGATTCGCTGTGCAGAGTTGCGTCCCTTGGGCATGCCAGTAACCTATGATTGTGGGTTGGAATCCCGGTTCGCCCCGATTATGTTTCTAGGTTTGTCAGCACCATACCCGTGCTCGTGGGTTTCACCGAAGTGGTAAACGTCTGAGACCTGCATCACTTCGGGCTTTCCTCCCACATTAAGCTGACACGCCGCGATATAATTGGAATATTGTTAAAAGCGGCGTAAAACCCAACTCACTCACTCTTTTACTTTAGTTCGTCTCTTTATTCTATCACTTTTAGTTCGTCTAATTTGTCAGCTTTAAATCATCTCTTTAGTTTCGTGTGATATCAGTTGTCCCAGGATGCCTGCGGGGTCTTGTCAAGGAGAAGCTTTTTGTCATGATAATATACCCTATAGTAAGTATTGATCTTGTATTTGTGAAAAAACCCATATGTATTTAACTAACAAAATATTTTTTAAAAACAGTCTCAACACCCACTCACCTTAGGACCGCCTCCATGGTCTAGTGGTAGAGCGTCTGCCCAGAGAGCGGAAGGTCCGGGGTTCGATCCCCGACCGCGTCGCACCAAAAGACGTTAAAAGATGGTACTTGTTGTTACCCTGCCTGGCGCTCGGCATTAAGGGGCTAACACAAGTACTGGTGCACGCTATATAAGGGCAATAACATTGAACGCGACATTAAACCTCATTTCACCTCCCCTCACTCACCTGGAAATGAATGATAATCAATGACGGAAAAAGGAGTGTTTCACGAAATATTTATCACAAACTACAGATTCCAGCATCCTCGGTGATGATGCTCGCCGAACTCGACAGTCGGCAGCAACCTTTGACTACACTGCTAATTTGATCTGTGATCAAAGCTATCTAGTTCATCGTTATTACTCGACCCTTTTTGCCCAAACTCCTCATCAATGTCCAACCCCCCTTCCTCCCATCCCCTATGACCCCACACACTCTTACATCTCCGACCCCCTACGATGAACAGTGACCCCGGCCCACGTGATGCTCTGTGACATTACGCACATAAAATACCTCAAGGTCACTCATCGATAAAACTAAACGAGGGCCATAATTGCTCTCCACCAACTGAGGCGTCTGAGTATGCTGGATGCAGTTATACGCTATCTCCAACCGTATCACTGGGGAAATATGACTAATTTATGACACTGCAAACAGACAATGCTCCATACATTTTATTCATCTAAAAAACGTTAGTCATCTTCCTTCAGTCAATAACACCACCCCCTTAGGACATGATAAGAGATGTTTTTTGACAATTTTTCATTTTTTCTCGACAGTGGGACGCCTTGATGTTGTTTGAGGGACGTCATGTATCTCATTGTGGACGTTATGTAATTTTATTTTTGACACTATTTTGCAAATTGAATAAAAGGTTATCAATAATGGCATGAAAAAACAGACAGCGTTCGGATCCAAAATTAAGTTTGTATATGACCTTGTTGTCGTATGACATAACATTCACATCCGAAACCTGACAGGCATGCCTCTCAAAACATCCGTTCTGCTATCGAAGTGCCTTTTTTAACTTTTAACTTTTTTAACTTTAAGATTTCGTTTTTGTAGTAAGTAGAAACTGAGTGGGTAAATATGAGTCGTACACCTTGCAGATTATGAAGACGTCATCGCCCAGCGTCTTTTGTGTAATGGTCTGTTATTTAAACACGCGGCTTCTTTTTCTTTACATTAAACACTTATCTTGTGTTTCATACTTGATATTGAAATTATACATGGAAACTTTATTACCTCGAGAATATATGGATTAATCAGAAGATCGAGACGTAGTGCAGATATTATAATATAAACTGCCGGACGAAAGGAAGGGTACACACATTGAATTTGACAAATACAATCGTTTTCAAAACGTTACTAGGCTGAAAATAGTCGCTGAAACTCTGCAACGTCATGTATTTTATACCGCCTATGATACCAGCAGCAAATACATCATCATCGAATGACCATTTTTTGTTTGTTTCATTTCTAGCGCAACATGGTGTACTTCCTTTTGCCCAGCAGTGTAGAAGTCAGTAAAACTAGACCAGCGCCTGTATAGCATGAAACTGGGAAGAGATAGTGTAATAACGAGTGCATGAGTGAGTGAGTGAGTGAGTGAGTGAGTGAGTAAGTGAGAGAGTGAGTGAGGAGACCCAATGGCATCCCGACGTCTTAACTGTTATATCGAGAGTTCGAATTGACGGGTTTCCATTTTATATAAAGTTGAGCTGAAACGCCGTTTGATTTTTTTCTTTGGAATAATTGTTCTTGCTTTGTTCTTGTTCCTGAGAGCAGCAGCATCACTCCATCAGCTCTCGCACGTTAACCTTCTCGCACTACCGGATCAATGAGACCGTCACAAATGGCTTTAATCTTCTCGCCAGAATAATGTATCTGATCTGGGAGCGAATGTCTACTACCAACGCCGCGTATTGTAATGGGATGAGGTTTGATAAGCGACAGTTCGGTCGACTAAATGAACAAATTTGGGAAAAAATTTTGAAATGAGAATTTGAAATTTATCGCAAATGTTCAAATGACTGACATTTTTCATTAACAAGAAGAACAAAATTAAACACAGAGCAGTTGTAAAAGGCACGAATGAGGCACCGTTTCGTGATCCAAGATGACATTTGGACCTCTTGGCGTCAATGGTGTCTTGATATCCGCTATATCAAAGGACCTACTTGTACTCATGTCTTCAAAAACATTGATTCCAAAGGTTTGAAAAGAGAAAAACGCCAGCAGTCGGTCATATACACACTGTGATGATTTTAGATCCTGTTTATTTTCAAACTAAACCCCACTAGAAATGGCCAATACAAAATTATAAACGTTGCGTAAACGTTTAACTTCAGTTTCAGAAAGACTGATGACCTTATTTCTACCAACAATGCCAGGTTATATTTGTAGAGTTGAAAATCAAAGTTCAACTGAGAAACGATAGCATGTGTCTTATCTGTCCATATAAATTTGAATGGTGGCATTGTCTGTAACAAGGTTTACGACGGCTATTGTCGATTTTCCAGCCATGAATTTCCCCTTCAGTTCAAGAAATATAGCATGACCTCAATCTTACGGACCTTGCCTGGCGCTCGACATTAAGGAGCTAAAACAAGGACTGGAGTCAGTATACTGTGTCTGAGTGGGGTTTTCATGTTACACTTCGGCATGGTATCTCAGTGGGCTAGCGCTATAAATCGGCATCAGTCCGGACTAGTACAAGCAGCCACACACACACACACACACACACACACACACACACACAAAAAAACAAAAAAACAACAAAAAACACACACACACGTCGCTATACCAGTGCAATAATCTTGGACGCGGCGTTAAACCCAACTTCACCTCACCTCAATCTTACGGCATCATCTAGTCCCTAGTTCGTTGAAGGGGATTTGATGCCGACCGACTGTCATAGCAGCCATATTGACGAATCTATTTATGGCCGTAAAGTTTGTTAATTATTTAGGTAATTTGTTCCAGTTTTCTC